AAATTCAGAAAATGATCAATTTCCTACAATAATAGACAATTCAGAAAACATCCTGTGAGAGCTGTTTCAAACTACTAAAAGCTGTCATGATTACAAATCGATGAAACATCTCTATACACCAATATGTGTTGCATCTCCATGACCTAAACATGCGTTGCAACATATGGTTCTTCAGGACCTAACGATGTACTTGCAGTGGAAAGCACTTAAACTAGTAAATCTTACAAATTTGTAGATTCCTAGGTATTCTTCATCCCAACCATTCCCTAAGGTGGGGCTCAAACATTTTTCACTATTTGTTCTCGGGATGCGCTGGTGCAATGTGTCAAGTTACAGGTCAAGCTTGAGATTTCAAAAAAAATAATTGAAAACAATGTTTGTTTAGGAAATATGATCATGTTTTGGGGAAAAAGATTTCAAAACTTTTCAAGTTCCCAAAAACTAATTTAGGGCAGTTTTTGGGCGAAATTTTTTAAGCCACTCATAAAACTTCAACTTTTCTTCAAATAAAATGCATGTCCAAACACAACTTCAACTTTCAAAAACTATTTTTCAACAAAACTTCAAAAACTCTTTTTTCAAGTTTCAATCAAATCTATGTCCAAACGCTAAATTTAATTTAAAATGAGAATCTGAACTTAGTGAGACTCTTTACAGAGAAATTTCTCATAGCATCTACACATTGAAAAAGAAATTGCACATTAGAAAAAATATGAAATCAAATACAAGAATTAATTTGACCGGGGATCTTAAGAAACTAAGTATACAAACTGATGCATATGCACTGTAGGATGGCTGTTTATCAGGAAAAGTTAAAATTTTAAACTAGCTACCCTAGGATGAAACTTATACAATATAAGGGATAGCCTTTAACTATTATACTGATGGTTCTAGTACAACTTATTAAATAAGACCTTAGAGCTTTTGATAAAATAAATAAGACCTTAGAGCTAGCATGTCCAATTTAAACTTTGAGTCACTTACCAGGATCCTTTGATTGTGCACACAAGTCAGAGTGAAGTTAAAAATGTTGAACCCTCCAAATCTCAATGTGCTTGCAAGAAAGTAGTTTTCGTAGATATGCCAAGACCACAAATTTATGGATAATCTCAACGTGTTTGCAAGAAAGCAGTTTGATAGATATGCCAAGCCGACAAATTTAAGGATAAAATGACCAAGATTTATGCAGTTGAACAAAACTCAATTACTGTTCAAGTACACAAAAGATGCATTCAGCAATGATAATATGCAATTAACTAACACAGCAATGGTCATCCGAATAGCAGGCAGAGTACACATGAACCCTGGATGACAAGATATACCTGAACAAGCATTAGAAGTGCGTCATGAACTTTCTCTCTGCTCAGTGGTCCACTATTTGGAGGAGGCTGAGTAGAAGTGAGAAAAGGAGGTGGTATAGGTGGCGGAAAGGGTTGAACTAGAGGTGTGCCATGTTGGGGTTGTGGATCCACAGGAGGATAAGGAGCAGAAGTTAATATAGCTGAAGAGACAGGAGTTGTCACCAACATAGGTGATGCAGGAGGTGTAAAGAAAGAAGGCTTCACAAGATTTGCAGGGTGATTGGTATTATTGATCGGGTTAGCAGAATCACGGGGCAACTGTGTAGGAAGTGATGGAGCTGACTGAACAGGTAATGAGACTTGCAAAGTTGGAGCAGGAGATGGTAGGAGGCTTGGAACTCGGGGTGATAGATCAACAGTTTGAGCTGGAGAATGATATGGCTGTCCGGAGTTCACAACATTTGAAGAGGTATGCCCAATACTTGCAGCAGTCTGCAACAACAAAATAGAATCTCAGGACTTTAACATTGGCAGTGGGGGAAGACTGCCCAATACTTTAAAGCCAATGTTTTACTCCAGAAGAAGTCATTCTCATTGATCTTCCATGATGCATTCATCTACTAATGCAGCCTCACTCATATTTTGAAGAAAAAGGTGCATTTTTACCCCCCTTAACTATGCTCCCAAAAGAGCCAGCTTAATATATAACCTCATTTTCTTCAAAGGCATATAGCTACAGCTGCTAGTCCCCAAGTGAAGCCATCTCCAAAAAATTCAGTTAGCAACAGAGATAAATTCTTAGATTCCGGGAATTTGATATTCCTCACGGATCCAGATTCTCATACTATGATTGTCCTCGTATTCTACATTTCCGTACACTTGGTATCATCATTAGTCAACCCTCTTCTGGAAATAAATATTTTCTGCAAATTCCCGGAGTAGAACATTGTCCCTCATGATTTTTTCGGGATGGGGGTGCACATGCATCAAGTTACCCAACAACCGAATGAATGAAAATGTGAGCCTTGGTTTGACATATATCCAGGGTAATGTATGGTCTCTGTAAAGCGTAAATGATTCAAATAATGTGCATCCACTATAAGTTGGTACAACTTTCATGTAGATTAGGTATAGAAAAAAAATCTTCAACCAAGGAAATCTCAGGCGATGATGGTTTTAAGAAAACGTACAAGGGCCAGCATTCTTTTGCTGCAAGAATTGAGTGACTAGAGAAGCAAATAGGTAGAAATATTGAAAGTTCATGAAGAGATTTAAAGTTTCAAACGTGACAGTTTTAGATGTTAGACGGGAAATTCAACATCAAGATCATTAAGAAAGTTTAGTACATACATTGAAGAAGTTCATAAAGGAAGAATCATCAGCACTATCCCCAATGGTTGAGGTGGTAAATGCTTGTCCAAATGGCCCTTCTATTACTGTACTCATCGGCACCGCTTCATGTTCTGTAAACTCACTGCATTTGAAGACATCAGGAGATTTTAAAAATTAGTACAAAACCACATCAAAAAAGGGGGAGAAAATCAAGAAGAATAACAGAAACTCTAATAGCTGAAGTGCAACAAACATTGACTTAGTCGTCACTTATGGACAAATATATTAACAAGGGAAATATGACAACGAACACAAGATAACAAAGTCATAATTGATTCTTCTATTTCTTCTTTTGCTCCGTAAGTGCCTATGTTTATGTTGGACCCTCATTCTATGCAAAAACATAAATGGGAGATTATCTAGGAAAGTAAGAAGCTCAGGTTCTATTAGATGCGCTCTCAACAAGCAAAAAAGTGGCAGAGATTTGAGGGCTTTGGAAACTTTTTAGGTGTCTCATGGAGGCCAGACGAGGAAACTGCAAAGGCACTGATATTGCAAATTCAAAAGGGATGCAACAGAATAGCAAACCAGGTGACAAGAGAAATCACCAGAAAGAAAGAAGGGAAGATAACAAACAAGAGGATGAACTTTAAAAGTAGGAAAGCGGCATCAATTATAATGCCAAAGAGGGTAATGGAAAGTTAAACACGCCAAAAAGATGGAAGCAAAATCATTTATTTACCTGTTGTTTGCTCGTGGATGGGAGGTAATTTGGGCTTTTAGATGTCAAGGGTAAATAGGTTACTGATGAGGGTTAATAATTTATTCCGGCTGTATACTGGTCAAACCCCACATAAGTTCAGCATAATCAAACAAATCATTTGTTTACTAAAAATTAATAACGAAATTGGACTATTTGCTAGAGATTAACGCGCCTAACCTTGGGATATCAGGCTACCCAAGTCATTAAACAACAGCTCCTAGAACATTCTACACTTTTGTTAATGATGTACATTTTCATTTCTTCTTCCTCTCATTAAAACATCTTGTGTGCCAGCAATTAAGGTTTAAAAGAAGCTTATTATTCTAAGAAATTAGATTATTTGCTAGAGCTCAACGTACCGGGATTGAATATGATGTTAAATTCCTTAAATAAGAACCTCCTAGAATATTCTTTTTCTTTCATGAAGTAGATTTTCATCTCTTTCTTCCTCTCATTAAAACCTATTGAATGCCTGCTAACAAGTTCGCATATGAGATTCACTTTGTGGACAAATTATTCAGGATAATACTGGAGAAGGGTCATCAAAGCAATATGGTCTCCTCAATACATGGACCACCAAATCACCATCCTCTCCCGTGGTCACATTAGATCCTACTCGGAAGTAATCAATACAAAGACATCCTATTCATGTTGGAGATGGGAGAAGAATTTACTTCTAGCAGGATTCATGGTTGGACCAGCCCATTAAAAGACTCCTTCCCAGAAATCCTCAGCTTCTTCTTCTTTTTTTTCTTTTTTTTTTGTGATCAAGTAATAAGATTTTATAAACAATGGGCAAAAGAATTACCCGTATACAAGACGTAACCAAAAAGTAGAAAACCTTACAAAATGGTAAACGACACCCAATCTTCTGTACCTAAACTCCTCAGCTTCGTAAGTAACCCATTAGCTCTTTTATATGATTAAAGAACAACCAGGGATGGAACATCATTTTTAGAAGAAATTGCGATAACTGAGAGTTAGAAAAAGTTCTTGGCTTGCTAAACAAGCTGAACAATCTACCCGAACCACAGAGTTCCCCAGACAGTCTGATTTGGAAGGTCAAGCTAATGGAAAATTTTCAATCAGATCATACTATTCCACCTTAACTCACCCCACCACCCCTTCACATTTCTGGCCATGCAAAAGAATCTGGAAAAGCTTTGCCCCTAAGGTGGAATGTTTTACCTGGTTGGTCACAAAGGGAGCAATCCCACCTTAACAAAATCTGCAGAAATGAGGCATAAACCTATGCAATACATGCGCACTATGTGAAGAGCAAATCGAATACGTAAATCACTTGGTTCTATTTTGCAGTGACTTGGAGTATGATTTTCAGTAATTCGGGGCTTCACTGTTCATGCCTAAAAACACAAAGGAATTTCTTCAATGCTAGTAAAAGAGAGGGCTCAGCAAAAGCTCAACCAAAGTGTGGAACACCATCCCAGCTGCATGTTGGTGGATTATTTGGAGGGAAAGGAACAAGAGAGTTTTTTAGAATAGAAAGAAGAATATAAGTAGCTTGAAGTATATTAGAACTTCTTTGTAAGATGGTGTGATATGGCTAATGTAAATGGCCATGCTTGACTTTCTTTAGTCATCACACAAACTACAAGTAACTGCTTGATGCATCCGTCCCAGCATTCCCTTTATGCTTAGCTTACATTTTAATAGAAATTAATTTATCCAAAAAAAAGTGAAGGGATTGTGAAAGGGTGAATAACAATCATTGGATTAGTATAATGTGTAGTTCATCGTATTAAAATCTACTTATGGTGTATCAACTAACATATGGGTTTGGTTTTAAATTGGACAAGGATTTGTTTCCAATAGTATTCTCTGTCTACAGTAAATCACTTTATCCAATTTGATGTTGGTTTTATTAACGGATTAAAATAATTGAAATATACATTTTAAAAGAATGGTATGATAGATGAATATGTAACAAATTGGAGTAAAATAGGATGGTTGTAGTGGAGGAGTCCTACAAGTATGAAATACGACATGAATATACCTACCAACGTGAAAAAAGTTCTATAGAACAATTCTAAGACCAATAAGGTTATATAGAAGTGCATGCTGGGTCTTTTTTTTTTTTGATAAGGTAAAGTATTATTAATAAAAGTGTACCAAGAAGGTACACAAGAGTACAAACAGAGCAGACAGCACCTACAGAGAGCACTCTATTACATCTTTCCCAACAAGTGAATGTTGGGTCTTAACATATCCACAAAATGCATGCTGTCAAGATACGGATGTTAGGATAGATGTTTCATCATACAAAGTTAGACGAAATTAGAAATAATCACATTATGCAGAGGGTGTAACTGCCTAAGTGGCATTACATAAAGCATAAAATGAGAGGTCGTCGGAGATGGTAGGATTATATCTTACATAGACCTCCAAATTAACCAATCCATTGGCATGATGCTATGACGATGAAAGGTGCTAAAAAGAGACAAAGTATACAAACATTCACATGGAGTGAGAATCTTTGAAGACCTACAATCTTTTGAAATCCAAGCGGATTCGGCTAAGAACATAACACAACGCTATGATGGTTGGAGGTACTAATATGTATATATTGTTATTCCAGTATTCCACATAACACAATACATTGATGATCGCATAGGAACCATCAATCAGCAATCACAATTTGCACAAAGATTATTTTCTTATTCCTTAGAGCAAACAGCCTTTAAGTACTTATCTTCTATCATGCTGCAATAATTAAACAGTTTCTTATGATGTACTTTTTTCTTAATCAGGAGTTTCTTATGATGTACTAAAACATGGAAGGGTTATAGCGTCACCAGAAATGAGAATATCCATGAGTAATTACATATAACTTGTGGTTACTGTAAAGAAATTGCTTGACAAACATCTCAATATCCAAAATAAGAAGAACAAGAGGGAAGAATCAACGACTCCGCACCTTTTTCTTAACTGTGGCTTCAGGGGAACCTTTGAGTATGCACCTAAAATTCTGGAAACCACCACATCAAAGTAAAATTATACGATTTGCAGATTAAGCGCCATGAATACGTAAGAAAAATTACCCAATTACTTCACATACCCTGTACCACTAAAACAAACTAGCAATAAATATTCTCTGGTGCCATTTCTATCAACAGATATAGAACAAAGACTAAACTGCTTTTTCTATCTGATTTATGTCATTTCCATCATCTAACATGAAGACTAAATGGATGCAATACAATTTAGACACCTCCACTAACAGAAAGTCAGAGTTGTACAAAAACTGGAAACATAATTGTCGGGCTAAAATAAATCTGATGTTATTGAAATCACATATTTAAAGCCTAAGGTATGTCGTAATTTGACCAAACAAGCTCCAAAAGTTGAAATATTTCATTTAGAACAGCCTTCAACTTAATGCCTTTTGATAGAAGAACCTTATCATGTTTATCCCTACCAAATAAAAGCCAAACTACCTTCCAGTTTAAACATAAATTCCGGATTGCTATCAGCTTGACAATAATATCAGGCATCCACAAGTAATTATAAGTACAAGGATAATAACCAGCCCTTAAAATTTTATCTGAGTAGTTTATTCACTTATTTGTTTCCTCTTTATCATATGAGAAACGTCTATAAGGATCACATATATCAGTTGGTGCTATATGTGTGTATGTTCGGGAGAAGATGTGGATCACCTCTTATAACATTGTTAAGTAGCTACACACATGTGGTGGGAGGTTATGAATTGGTTCGGAATACAATGGGTAATGCCGAGCACAGTAAAGGAGGCACTATACAAATGGGCTTTTAGAAGAAGCAAGAGAAGACGCAGGGCATGGGATGTCACCACTAACTCTTATGTGGGCAATATGGAACAGAGGAATAGGAGAGCATTTGAAAGGGTCGAGAAAGATTTTGTACATGTAAGGAGTAGCCTCGTGGGTCTAGTTTCCTTTTGGTGCACCCATGAGGTTTTTGTATGTATAGATAACTACGTCACTTCGGTACAGAACCTTATTTTGGTGTAGGTCTCTTTACTTTTTAGTACACTTCTTGTATACGGGGATTTCCCCAACATTAGTAAAACTAGTTACCTTATCAAGAAAATGTCTACAAAACTCGCCACCATAACAGTTGCTTTACGTTGTTTACAGAGAACCATAAATTAATCTACAAGAATGTATTTTCCAACATCATAGATCTCCACTGCAATAATCTCAACTTTCATCTACAACTATACATTTTCTGATAACAAAGAGACAAGCTCCGCTCATAAATAAATCATATAGCTTGGGGCATGAAGACTGAAGAAGATGCCAACCTGCCAAAGAGATCTGCAACCTCCTCACATTCATGTGCATTGTAGAACCAAATACCATTGACTTCTTGGGCTGCATTCCGATACAACAGATATGGAACTTGAACCTCGAACTCAAAGTCTCCCAAGAGATCTTCCACCATATTTTCTGCTTCATATTAAACAGGAAAGCTTCATGCAAGAAACAAATATCACAATTTTCTCAAAATAATCTAATATTCACAAGGCCAATAGAGGAAAAAAAAAATTATATTATGTTTTGTCTCAGAATCATGACCACCAAATCGAGAAGTGTAAACTTAGATGTCAAAAAAAGAATTATTCATAAGAAGCACTACTTTCAAAAATCATAAAATGAACAAAGTAAAAATAAAGAATTCTAAAGGTTCTCCCCTATGTATTTGAAAAAGAGAGGTCCCGCACAAAATTATTAGAAGAAGAAATGGGATTATACCTGTATTCCTCCGGTTCATAACAATAAACTGGAACCTTGGCTGAGAATTCCTAAAATAACATAACCAACAACAATGATATCTGGTCATCCAACCTCCTTATAGGCACACAATCCATCAAAAACCATCAGAATCCCATATTATAACATGGAAAACTACCTATAAAACCAAGGAAAACCATCTAATAATTATATGATATCTGCACAGTGATAACAGTTTCTGACAAGCTGAATTAGAAACAAATTTTTGGACAAGGTACCAGACATTTCTTCATAAATCTTAAGCATAAAAATAGGCTGCTGTGATCTGTGAACTGGACCAGTTTGGATCACCTTGGGGGGGCTGGCCTAGCCTAACCCACCGACCTCCATCCCATGAGGGGAATCTAGTCGGTGGGCCAGCCACACAGTACAAGGCCCATGGGCAGAGCGGAAGTTCAAAGGGGGGAAAAGAAAAGACAAAAAAATGAAGTGGCAACGGTTAGTTAGGTGCCTAAATTTACACATATTTTATTGCTCTGTTATATTAGAAATTACAAGAGTTATTCCTTATTTTATTTGGAGGAGAACTATGTCAACTTCCAAGCAAAATAAACCCACCAAACCCTTTTAGCTTAGATGCACTTGCTTTGGTATCTAGGCAACTTAATGATATAAATTCAAGTCCCAACGCCTTAAATACTTTTCATGTTTCATTAATTTCTTACAATTATCCCATCTTTTTCTTGAATTATTTTTTATTTATAATCATCTACTTTCCGTCTAAGTATGTGATTCTGTAATTGCATTTTATAGTAAAAGAAAGGGGTCCAAGACTACTTATCAAAAAACGGGGTCTGAGACTAGACCCTCCTAAGGGATTAGGGATCGCTCTGGAAGCGGATAGGCTGATGGTAGGGCATTCACCAGGATCGATCATGAGCCCCTGAACTTCTAAATTTTGGGGCTAGATCAGTTCGGCCAGGTCACTTTGCCATGTATATGAATGTTCAATCTAGCATGATAGCAGAAAATACCTGCTAAATCTGAAATAACATATAGAACAAAGCCAGACATAAACACTTCCTTTTTAAACAGAAAACTTTAGTTACTTGTCATACTGCAAGCATACCTCTTAACTACAAAGAAAGAACCTTCAACCTCCTTGCGGCTCTGCAATCCAAATTAACCAATAAACAAGTTTTTCTTCAAGACTACATTTCATGAAGACCAACTGACCAGATTATAAATAGGCCTAAAGGCAGGAAGTGGGATTACACAGCGCAATCCCTTAGAATAAATTTTCCAAAACATCCAATTCACCACCTTTTCATCTGAATGATGTATATCACGAGCAACAGGTCCAAATAGAGCAAAATTCCCTACTAGCTTGGGATGAGGCATTGAGGCATACCTTAATTTCAGTGGTAAGTTTATTTCAGCAATTTTTCTAAACAAATGCACACATTAAAAATTGGTAAACCAAGACTTTCTATATCACACACACCTTAAGCAACATTTCGTTACATACTGCAACACACGATAAGACATGAGTTTGTGTAGCAGCAGCCAGAGGTGGATCTACAGTACTACTTATAAGTTCATGTGAACCCTGTAGTCGTTGTAGGGACCCATAAATTTCAAATCCTGGATGCACCTTTGGTAGAGGCAGAGAACTATAATTATGAAATTTATTCTTTCGAACTATCCCTGAGACACTTTGTACAATCATATCCGTCAATGTACACAAACAGAGAGATTAACAATTACTAAATAAATACCTCAGATATACACATATCTACATAAAGCACAAACTCAATATTTTGCTGATATTGAAAAAAAACGACCTGATCAAAAAAGAAATGATGGATTTAAGTTATATACACTGACAGTATAAAGTTTATTTACAGCATCGGTGTTGTTTGACATGTTGTAGTAGGTTGAGTTTAAGTTATATACATCGTTAGTGTTAGTGTAAAAATTACACTATCAGGTCACCCAAAGAGTATCTACTAGTAAGCCTCCTTAAAATGTGGGGATTATAATCTTGAAATAAGACAAGCTAGCTGCTAGAACGCGTAAATGTGACTTCATGATGTAAAATTTCACTGGTAAGTGCGTCCTGATGGTGTAAAAGTTCCTTGGTAGATGCGAACGGATGGAGTAAAAATTTCTTACACTGACAAAGTATATAACTTAAACTCTAGCAGCAGCAGGTAAATTATAATTGAGATTTGGCTGCGATTACCTTATAAATGATTTGATAGTGTAAAGATTCTTTACAAAGTGCATAAAACTAAAACTCATAAATAAGTAAATAACGAAGTACTATATAAGTAAATGATATTTTCTGACCCATTGGTTAAGGTCGCCATTGAAGTCGTACAAGGTGACATGAGCAGCGGTGAAGAGGATCTCCTCAATACACGCATCGATTCTCTGTAGGACAGTGAGGTTAAGCGTCTTTCTACTTCGGTCGTCCAGATGCGGCATTAACTTCGACATTTTCCTTCTAGAAACCGATAATAGAGAGAGAAACAGAGACTCTGATCGGAGAACGAAGTCGTAGAGAGAGAAAGGAAGAGATGTAATGTGACCGTGGCTACCAAATAAAAAAAAATTGCCAAAGAGATACCGTCGGAACAAGTCACTTTTACCATTTACGCTTTTGGAGTACTGATTTATAAGTAGTATTTTTTTTTTGTAAGAGGGGAATACGGGTGGCAAGTGGGCCGGGTCGGTCCTAAGTGGGCTCTGCGGGTCCGATTCTAAGTGGGTCGTCCTATGCGGTCCGGTCCTAAACGGTTCCTGGCTTCGCGGGCTTATTGCTGGAATCGGCTCGGGACCGGGACCACGAACTAACGGTCCCGGGT